TTCCCCCCCCCCCCCCCCCCCCACACACACACACACACATCCATCAGCGCACATCTGTGTGCAGGTGGCGTGCAAGTGGCGATTGGGTACCATAGCCGGCCCGAACTGACGGCTCAGCGGTTCATCTCTGACCCTTACAGTGACAACGGCGGCCGGATGTACAAGACGGGGGACCTGGCGCGCTACTGGCCCGACGGCAGCATCGAGTTCCTCGGCAGAATTGACTTTCAGGTATGGGTGGTGTGTGGTGTGTGGTGTGTGGGCGAGTAAATGGGTGGGTGGATGGATGGATGTGTGTGTGTCTCTGTGTGAGCAGGTGAAGATTCGGGGTCTTCGGATAGAGCTGGGAGAGATCGAGGAGGCCATTGCGTGAGTCAAGGACACACGTGCACACAGCCACACACACACACAGAGAGAGAGAGAGAGAGAGACAGGGGCAAACATGAAGACTCACACGTGTGTTGGGTGGTCTGGGTCAGCTCCCATCCCTTGGTGAAGGAGGCAGTCGTCCTGGCCAGGAACGGCGCTCTCGTGGCCTACTTGACGCCAACACACCCCACCACCCAAGTAGAGGTCAGTCACGTGCACACGCAGCGCCACCATGCCGCGATCAAGACACACACTGTTGTGTGGATGGACGTGCAGCCCTCGAGCCTCCGGTCGCATCTGAAGGAGACTCTGCCCGAGTACATGGTGCCCTCGGCCTTCGTGCAGCTGCACAGGTGGATTGAGCGCATTGCACACACACACACACACACATGGATGTCTGTCTATCTGTCTGTCTGCCTGTGTGTCCATGTGTGTGTGCAGTTTGCCTCAGACGCCCAACGGGAAGCTGGACAGGAAGGCACTCCCTGCACCATCTGACGAGAACCTGGGCAGGAACCAAAGTGAGTGTTCTTCCCTCTGCACCCAACCCCGGACAAGAGAGAGAGAGATGGATTGTATCCGTGTCTCTTGTTGGTGCAGGTGAGTACGTTGCCCCGTCCACAGGCGTGGAGAAGGCCATCACATCCATCTGGCAGTCGCTGCTCGGGTGCGTGTGTGTACGTGTCTGCACACAGAAATGACGCCACTCATCCGGATGTGTCCGTCTGTCTGTGTGTCTGTGTGTCTGTGTGTCTGTGTGTCTGTGTGTCTGTGTGTCTGTGTGTGCGCAGCATCGAGAAGGTCTCCGTGGACGCTGATTGGTTCGAAAATGGCGGCAACAGCCTGCTGGTACACACACACACATACACACAGACATCCACAGCGCACAGCACCTTCACATACGACGCTCTCTCTCTCTCTCTGTGCGTGTGTGTCACAGGCGATGCGTTTGGTGAGCTGTGTGGAGAAGGAGTGCGGCGCCAAGCTGGGCCTGGCACAGCTGCTCAAGGCCTCCACCGTCCGCGGCCTGGCCGCACTTGTCGAGGAGAAAAGAAACAACGCCGAGAAGGTGCGTGTGCAGCCGAGAGAGAAGCTCACAAAGCCCCGTGTCCACTCATCCATGTGTGTGGTCGGTCGGTCTGTCTGTGGTTGTCTGTGGCTGACAGCAATCGCGCTGGCACAAGTGTGTTATCGAGATCACGCCAAAGTGAGTACAATACGCACGGGCAGGAGAACCCCCAGGCCCTTAATCTGGCCCGTCTTGCTGTTTCTTTCTTTCCGCAGGCAGCCCGGCAGCACCAGGCGGCCTCTCTTCCTCGTCCACCCAGCTGGTACTCTCACACACACGCCCATACTAACCTCGCAGGTATGTTGATGTCCTGTCCTACGCTGTCTCTGTCCCCACACAGGTGGCCACGTCTTGTGCTACGCCCCGATCGGCCGCCACATGGGCCCCGACTTCCCTCTCTATGGCGTGCAGGCCACTGGTACGCCACGGCACGGCACGCCGCGCCACGCGCACAAGCGTCCAATGGATGTGCACATGCACGTGTCCTGCAGGGTTTGCCGCTGGCGAGGAGCCCAATCAGACAGTCGAGGCGATGGCCAGGCTGTACGCCGACGCCATCAGTACGTTCGTGTGCCTGCACCTGCGCACCGATGCATTCATCACTCTCTCTCTCTCTCTCTCTCTGTGTCTGTGTGTGTGTGTGTGTGTGTGTGCAGCGACTGTTGAGCCCTCCGGCCCCTACCGGGTGGGCGGCTGGTCGTTTGGAGGCGTTGTTGCGTATGCGACCTGCCTGGAGCTGATGCGCAGGGGACACACAGTGGAGATCTGCGGTATGAAGAGCGCACCCCCCCCCCCCCC